TAGCTTTCTTACCCTTTTCTGCTCTTTGTAAGACGGTGGCCCTCGCCCACTATTCGCACCCGTCGAGCTCGAGTGCGCGTCGCTTCCGGGGGACGCCCTAGCTTTTACTCGACATACTTTATTAGACATACTCATTTAGATGCGACGGGGTGTTTCTCAGCCGGCTTGTCGCGCACCCTGAGGATAAATCTGACGCTGGAATCCCAGGCAAGAATTGTGTCCCAGAGAGGAATCGAACCCATGACCTATGAGGTCCTGGAAACGTAGAGCACTAACCACTCGGCTAACTCTGCCTTCAAATGAATACCGTAAAATATCCACATAAAAACAAATGAGAACGAAATGTCAAGCTTCTTAAGGAGATATGCCTCTAAAAATGCTTAAAACATACTATATATTTATGTGCAGTAGCTCGTAAATATAAATTATTATACAATACATAATAATATGAGGAAAATAGCTTACAACGCTATTTACGATAAATTTAAATACGGTGCCAAGGTTAATGTCATAATAAGAACATGAAATACTGTACTTTTTGTAGCAGTTGAATGCTCCTCTCATGTGATACACCGCTCACACTCTGAACAAGAGGCGGATCATTAGAAAAAAAGTCGCAAAGGATCAATTCGAGCAAAGTGTCATTTCGCAAACTTTTTCAAAATGTGTATTGTTGGGCTTAAAAATCAGGTTTTCCTCTCAATTTCCGAAAAATTTTATTTTTATTTTTTATTTTATTTTTAATTTTGACCCCTTCATGGTTTAACTGTAATCTTTCATAAGGGTTCATCAAGCGCCAAGAACATAATTTTTTTGATAAACCAATTCACACCGCCAGACTACTTTTTAGGCAAACCTGCATTTTTTGGCCGTTTGCCTATCTACGGTTATTCTACAGAGCGATTCTGTCGTGCAATTGCATATGATATTCGTACTTAGTGTTAACTCCAACGGATGGACTACTAGAATCCAAAAATTTGGTCCTCTTACAAAAAATATTTCGGGGCACATCTTTTTCTCTACTTGATATCCCAACTCAATAGCGTGCAAATCAGTTTGGTCCATTTGAATGGGAGAGTCGAGCATAAATTTATAAACCAAGAGTTCATTTGGTATGAATCTTATTCTCAAAGCTTTTAACTTAAAATCTTTCTATGCTTGGAAAATAACGCGCGAATGCAACAGTAAGATATAGTACTATAAGATGATACTCGATAATGTTTCAACATGCAGAAATGTCAAAGGAGCGCATTTTATGGAAGACAAAGAGTTACATAAGTCAATATGGCCAATTACAATTGTGTGACACAAATGCTTAAATTTAACCATACTTTCTGGTTTTCTTTTAATTTTTATAGGAAATAAATAAGTTCGCGCACTAAACTTCCTTAGCTGTGATCTCGAAATAGTTTATTGCTCTAAGATATGGTAAACCACCTACTAGATAGCTAATGCATTCTTTGGCAACATTACCTCTGTTTAAACTTTCGCTTAGCAAGTGAAAGAGATTGTAGTGTTGTTTTATGGCCACAAATACAAGGTTAAACAAATGCAAAATGGGAGCACAGCGTAATATGAGCAATGGGGCGAAGAAAATGGTTAACAGACGAAAATAACAAGAAAACAGCTACACGTTACCAGAGCCTACACCATTTATCAACGAGATTTTTTCATTCGACCAATTAGTCCAGACGGTGTGCTCACCTCATTGCAACCTTTCTCCTCAATTTTTGCTTCTTTCCTATTGAAAGAAGCTGTTTACACTGGTACAATTGCCATCATAAAATTGCAGTTTCCAGACGATTTGGAAGAGGTAACGCTATTTCAATGTGACAGCGTTATAGCTAGCAGATATTGCCCTGCTTCCAGCCCGGAGTGAAGACATAGGGCGGATACTAGATTTACAGAAAGCTTGTTTGTTGTAGATCGTGTATGCATGGAAAATGCAGAAAAAATGCAGGAAGTTTCCATATAGATCAGTGATTAACTAGAACTTATGCTAGGCGAGGCCGTTTTGCTCCCTCCTGTGGAGAGACACTATTTTCTTTGCATATTAAGAGATAAGAAGGGATGAGGTGAAATTTATGCGCAGGTTCAAAATTACTCCGTAGGGGAAGATAATCGCCCTTCTCGCTTTCTATCAATCAAAGCTCCCGCCGAAAGACTGTAGTCATCTTTTGGATTTGTAAGCTGCAACTAACTGCTGCTAATCCATCTTGGGCTCAAAGGACTGTGTTACACATATATTTAACAGCTTCTGCTATAATTGGTAAACGCTGTATG